CTCCGACAGTGCGGCGCTCCCTCAGCACTGACACTCCGACAGTGCGGCGCTCCCTCAGCACTGACACTCCGACAGTGCGGCGCTCCCTCAGCACTGACAATACCAGCACTGAGAGATGTTATGCGAGAATCCTGGGTTTGGTTTTGTTTCGGTGACTGTCTGGAAGGTGAGAATGTGTTGCTGTTTCAAATAAAATTCCTGAAATTGCTAATTTGCGCCACCCACCCCCAGGTGTAGCAGGCAGACTCCTGCCGAAGTCAGGACATGCCTGGCTCCTGGCCTCAGTGCAGGCAGAAACGGATACAGATCTGAACTTCCTGGGATCACACCTGCTCAGTTCTAGCTCACCTGAATGTGAAGATGGCGACAATCCCAAAAGTTACCAACAACTGAGCCGTAAGGATCATGTAAACCTGTGGGAAGAGATTGATGTGGGGAGGGAGAGGTTGGGGGAAAGGTTAGAGAAGGATAGATGTAGGAAGAGATTGGGGGGTGTGGACGAGAGAAAGAGTGAAAGGGGAGTAAGGGGAATGGGGGTGCGAGCGAGAGAGAGAGATATACAAGGCGGCAAAAAGAGGGAGAAGGAACGGTAGGGAGCAAGGGGTAGAGAGAGAGAGACCAGGAGGGAGACAGAGAGAGAGACAGAGAGAGAGAGAGAGAGAGAGACCAGGAGGGGGGGAGAGAGAGAGAAAGAGAGGGAGAGAGAGCGGGAGGGGGAGAGAGAGAGAGCGCGCGCGTGGGAGAGAGAGAGAGAGAGAGAGAGAGAGACAGCGTGAGCGCGGGAGGGTTAGAGAGAGAGAGAACGGGAGGGGTAGGGAAATGGAGTGGACAGAAAGGGAGCAAGGGAGGGGGCGATGGGGAGAGAAAATGTGCACATTAATGGATGCAAACAAGGCATTCCAAGCCACTCTATTTCAACCTAATGCTCCCTGTCTTGGGATCATACAGCACAGAAAAGGCCCTTCATTCATTGTGGCTGTGCTGACCTACTTACACTAGTCCCACTATCTCACACTAGGCCCATAGGCCTTGCATGTTATGACATTTCAAGTGCTCATCCAAGTATTTTTTTAAAGATTGTGAGGTTTCCTACTCTCCCAGGCAGTGCATTTCAGACACCCTCCATCCTCTGTGTGAATAGGAGAGGCGACGGCCTCGTGGTATTATCGCTGGACTGTTAATCCAGAGACCCAGATATTGTTCTGGGGACCTGGGTTCGAATCCCACCATGGCAGATGGTGGAATTTGAATTCAATAAATACCTGGAGTTAAGAATCTAATGATGACTGTGAATCCATTGTTGATTGTCGGAAAAACCCATCTGGTTCACTAATTTCCTCTAGGGAAGGAAACTGCCATCCCTACCTGGTCTGGCCTACATGTGACTCCAGACCCACAGCAATGTGGTTGACTCTTAACTGCGATAGTAAGAACTGCTGATGCTGGGCAATTAGGGATGGGCAATAAATGCTGCCTACCCAGTGACACCCTCATCCCATGAATGAATAAAGAAAAAAAAACCTTTGCTCAAATCTCCCACCTTTCAATTTGAAAGGATGCCCCTTATTTTTGACCCTTTGACAGCTGCTTCCTACCCACCCTGTTCGTGCCCCTTATGATCGTACCCCTCCATCAGGTCCCCCTTCAGCCTTTTCTGCTCCAAAGAAAACAACCTCAGCTTATCCAGCCTCTCTTCATTGCTGAAATGCTTCATCTTGGTGAATCTCCTCTGCACCCCTGATGTGCAATCACATCCTTCCTTTATTTTGGGGACCAGAACTTCACATAGTACTGCAACTGTGGCCTCACCAAAGTTCTGTACAGCTCCAACATAACATCCCTGCTCTTGAAATCTCTGCCATGTCTGGTAAAGAGAACTATCTTGTATGCCACTTTAACCATCCTATTGGTCTGTCCAGCCACCTGCAGGGATCTGTGGTCAAGCTTTCCAAGATTCTTCTGTTCCTCTGAGTTTTAGTATCCTGCCATTTAATGAGTGTTCCCTTTCCTTGTTCCTTCTTCCAAAGTGCATCACCTCACACTTTCTCAGGGTTAAATTCCATCTGATACTGACCTGCCCATGTGACCAATCCTTTTACACCCTCCTGTAACCTCACACCCTCCCTCCTCATCGTCAACCACCCCAGCCAATCTTTGTGTCATCTACAAACTTACTTATAACAACTACCGCTCTGCTACCTCACGCCCACGTTCTCATCTGCATCATTTCTGAATATTGTGAATAATAAGGGACCCAACACTGTCCCCTGTGGTACACCACTGCATACCGGGCTCCTGTCACACAAACAGCCTTCTACCACCACCCTTTGTCTCCTGATACTCATGTCAATTTTGGACCCAACATGCCAAGTTACCCTGGATCCCATGAGTTATTCCCTTCTGTATCAGTCTCCCATGTTGGACCTTATTAAAGGCTTTGCTAAATAAACTATGTTAACTGCACTACCCTCATCCAAACACTTGGTCACCTCATCAAAAAATTCAATCAGATTTGTCTGTCATGATCTCCTTCTGACAAAGCCACATTGTCTATCCCTGATCAAATCTTGCTTCGCTAAATGGAGATTAATTTTCTGCAGTAGTTCCCTACCACTGATGTGAGACTCTCTGGTCTACAGTTCCCTGGTCTATTTCTACTGCCCTCTTGTAAAATCAAACCACATTAGCTGTCCTCCAGTCCACTGGCACCTCCCCTGTGACCAGGGATGATTTGAAAATTTGGGTCAGGACCCCTTGTAGTTTCCTCCCTCGTCTTCCACTGCAACCCATCCGGGCCTGGGGATTTTTTACTCTTAAGCACACCAAAACCTCCAATACCATCTCACTACTTATTCCAACCTGCTCAAGAACCTCACAGTCCCTATCCCTGAGTTCTGCCACATTCATCTCGACCCTTCCCAGAGCTGATCGACTTGAGAGCCAGACGAAGGGTGGAGGGTCCTGACTGAACCACACACAGGCCATGGGGCACTCACAAACACAACTCATACTCCATGTGGAAGAAAATGTGTGAGGGCACACCAGGAGCAGCACCAGGCATACCTACAGATGAGGTGTGAATCCGCGAAGCCATCAAACAAGACTACTTTCACACCAAACACTGAAAGTAGCAAGTGATAGACAGAGCTAACTGATCCCAGAACCTACAGATCAGACTGAGCTCTGCAGTCCTGCCACATCCAGTTGTGAATGGTGGTGGATGATTAAACAACCCACTGGAGGAGGAGGATCCACAAATATCCCCATCCTCAATGATGGAAGAGCCCAGCACATCAGTGCAAAAGACAAGGCTGAAGCATTCTCAGAGTGCCGAGTGGACAATCCATCTTGGCCTCCTCCAGTGGTCCCCAGCATCACAGATACCAGTCTTCAGCCAATTCAATTCACTCCACGTGATATCAAGAAACGGTTGGAGACACTGGATACTGCAAAGGCTACGGGCCCTGACAACATTCCGGCAATAGTACTGAAGACTTGTGATCCAGAACTTGCCGCTCCCCCAGCCAAGCTGTTCCAGTATAGTTACAACACTGGTATCTACCCGACAATGTGGAAAATTGCCCAAATATGTCCTGTACACAAAAAGCAGGACAAACCCAACCCGGCCAATTACCGCCCCATCAGTCTCCTCTCGATCATCAGTAAAGTGATGGAAGGTGTCAGTAACAGTGCTATCAAGCAGCACCTGCTCAGGAATAACCTGCTCAGTGATGCCCAGTTTGGGGTCTGCCGGAGCCACTCAGCTCCTGACCTCATTACAGCCTTGGTTCAAACATGGACAAAAGAGCTGAATCTCAGAAGTGAGGTGAGAGTGACAGCCCTTGATATCAAGGCTCCATTCAACCAAGTGTGGCATCAAGGAGCCCTGGCAAAACTGGAGTAAATAGGTGTCAGGGGGCTAAATGCTCTGCTACAGGTTTACCAGGATATTACCGGGTATCGAAGGTTTGAGTTCTAAAGAAAGGCTGGACAGGCTGGGACTTTCTTTCACAGGAGCATAGCAGATGGGGAGGAGACCTCATAGAAGTTTATAAAATCATGAGAGATATAGATAGGGTTAATGGTAGTTGTCTTTTGCCTGGGATGGGGTGAGAGGAGAGAGTTTAGAAAAGAAATGAGGAGCAATGTTTTACACAGAGAGCAGTTCACATGAACCTCTGGAGGAAATGGTGGGTGTGGGCACAGTTACAATGTTTAAAAGACATTTAGGTAAGTACATGAAGAGGAGAGGTTTGGAGGGATATGGGCCAGTAGCAGGCAGGTGGGACTAGTTTAGTGGAGGATTATGTTCAGCACAGACTGGATGGACCGAAGGGTTTGTTTCTGTGCTGTATAACTCTAAGACTCTATGACTCTATGGTTGGAGTCATACCTGACACATCGGAAGTTGTTGTCGTTGTTGGAGGTCAGTACTTTCAGCTCCAAAGACATCTCTGCAGGAATTCCTCAGGGTAGATATTTTCTAATCAAACATGTCTGTTCAGGGTCAGAACTCACATGACACCAGGTTAGAATCCAACAGGTTTATCTGAAATCACAAGCTTTCAGAGCACAGACTATTCACCTGTTGGACTATAACCTGGCGTTGTGTGACTTCTGACCTTGTCCACTCTAGTCCATCCAACACCAGCACCTCCACATCACCTCTGTTCAGAGATGTTATTACACACCTCTGCACCAAGTGGAAATTGAACCCAGGCCCCTGATCCAGAGATAGGGACACTACCACGGTACCATAAGAGCACCTTAGAACTCCTCAGGGTACCTATTTTTCTAATAACCTGTTCAGAGATGTTATTACACACCTGTGGAGCAGATGGGACTTGAACCTCCCAATCCAGGGGTGGGAACACTTACGTTGCACCACAAGAGGTCCTTAGAATTCCTCAGGGTAGCATCGGAGCTGCTTCATCAGTAACCTTCCCTCCATCATAAGGTCAGAAGTGGGGACGTTCACTAGTGATTGCACAATGTTCAGCACCATTCATGACGCCTCAGATACTGAAGCAGTCCATGTTCAAATGCAACAAGATCTGGACAATATCCAGGCTTGGGCTGACAAGTGACAAGTAACATTTGCGCCACACAAGTGCCAGGCAATGACCATCTCCACCAAGGCAGCCTGGTAGATCGCTCCCCACCACCTTATCCGGGGCAATTAAATGCTGACCCAGTTAGTGTTCCCTACATCCTAAACTGGAATAATCAGTTCTATTAATCCCTCCCAGCTACCTTCTCCCTGACTACATCCATCCACTAATCTTTTCCCTTGGAAACATTTCCAGGGATTGATTCCTCCTGTGCAAATTAATGCTATCACTCTGGCTCCTACCTTTCGGATGAATGTGTGGCGAACATTCCGATCATCCCAGGAACTAGCAGTAAATCCCTGGTTACCATGTTCTGGTTCTGGTTCTGCCCCTGCCCCAGAGCTGCCATAGGCACCTGCACAGAGAGAGAGTTAACAAATCAATGCAGCTCCACAAAACAGTGGGACTACCCTCGCCCCCAACCCCCACAGAGAGAGACAAAGAGAGAGACAGAAACAGAGATAGAGACAGAGATATAGAGAGAGAGAGAGAGAGAGAGACCACCTCCCTCACAGAGAGACAGCAAGACTGCCTCACACTCCCACTCAGAGAGTGAGACACCCTCCCCCTCACACCAAGAGAAAGAGAGAGAGTGAGAGAGAAAGAGAGAGAGCGAGAGACCCCCTCCCTTATAAAGAGAGCACGAGACCGCCTCACACTCCCACACAGACAGTGCAAACCCTCCCCCCCCCCACCCCCCAAACACCCCCTCCACTCACACTCCTTCACCATGTCCCCAACACACCCACTGGCTAGCAGGTTGCCCTGGTTACTACTCCCTCTCCCAAACTGCTCTCTAACAAGGGGCATCACCTAAAAAGAAACTCCTTCCCACCTTTTTGTGAAGATCAATGTAGGAAAAGGACGGTAAACCCAAGGAGCAGGGTTGCTGAGGTTGTTCCCGTTCACTGACTGTCACCTTCTGAGTCAAAGGGGCAAGAAATATCCCAGAAGAAGGAACAGAGTTACACTCCCAAGCCAGGACAGTGAGTGCACATTCCCCTCCAAGCCACTCACCATCCTGATTTGGAAATATATCACCGTTCCTTCAGTGTCACTGGGACACAATCCTGGAATTCCCTCTCTTGGGGCATTTTGGGTCTACCTACACCAAATGGCCTGCAGCAGTTCAAGCAGGCAGCTAACCAACACCTTCTCAAGGGGCAACTAGGGACAGGCAATAAATGTTGGCCCAGCCAGAGACACACATGAACAAAAAAAAAGGCCTAAATTCCACACTCCAAAATCTTGGTGCTAACTGGAAGCTTCTGAGCTTTCTAATGGCAGGACACTAGGAATCTCAGAAGAACAGAGGGAACAGAGCTTGTCCACAGATTCCTTATGGTGGCCAGACAGGTTAATCAGGGAGTTAAGGAGGCATACGGGACACCTGCCTCTATCAGTCGCGGTAATAAGAGCAGGGAGATGTTCAGGACTCTGGTTTGGATCACAGCTGGGGCACTGTGTGCAGTTCTGGTCACTGCATTATTGGAAGGATGTGATTTCCCTGGAAGGATGCAGATGAGATTCACCAGGAAGCAGCTGAGATGGAGCACTTTAGCAAGGAAGAGAGGCTGGATAAGCTCGGGTTATCATCCTTGGAGCACTGAAGGTTGAGAGGGGGACCTGATGGAGGGGTATAGGATTATCAGGGTCATGGACAGTGGGGATAGGAAGCAGCTGCTCCCTTAGTTGAAGGATCAAGAACAACGAGGCATTATTTTGAAGTGAAAGGCAGGACATTTAGAAGGGATTTGAAGAAAAACTTTTTTCTCCCAGACAGTGGTAGGCGTCTGGAATGCACTGCCTGGGAGGCTGGGGAACCTGAAAATCTTTAAAACGTACTCGGATGAGCCCTTGAAATAAAACATTCAAGGCTATGGGCCTATTGCGAGATAGTGACACTAGTGTAGGTAGGGCAGCACAGCCACAGTGGATGAAGGGCCTTTTCTATCCTCGTGGTGAGAGTCGGGGTCGGGGCGAGGGTGTGGCTCGTGGCAAGAGTCGGGGTGAGGGCAAGGGTCGGCGTGAGGGTCCGGATGAGGGTGAGAGTGAGGGTGGTGGGAATTAGGGAGAAAGGTTTGGGCATTGACAGACAGCTTCTGCCTGTAGTTTTACACTGTCTCTGATACCCACTTGCGACAATACTGCCCTTTAGGGGAAATATAACACCGTTCCTTCAGTGTCAGTGGGACACAATCCTGGAATTCCCTTTCTTGGGGCATTTTGGGTCTACCTACAGCACATGGCCTGCAGCAGTTCAAGAAGGCAGCTCACCTCCACCTTCTCAAGGGGCAATTAGGGGCAGGCAATAAATGTTGGAAAGTTCTCGTATTCTAATAAGTACATCTTCCCACTGTTAATGGGTAGTTTAATCGGTTGACCATCCTGACCATTATACTCTGGCCAATAATGCCTCATCTGGTTCTCGCTTACATTTCACCATCTCCAACAGGCAGCTGCATTGAGGTAGAACCTGTCTCCCTGCTCTTTCAGGATCCTGCCTGGACAACACAGCAGGTCAGGAGGGAGTTGCAATGGGTCACTGTGTCAGGACACAGTGTAGACCATTTGAGGACTGAGATGAGGAGAAATGTCTTCATCCAGAGAGTGGGGAGCGTGTGGAATTCCTGCCACAGAAAGCAGTTGAAGCCAAAGCATTGAATGTTTTCAAGAAGAAGGCAGATATAGTTCATTGGGCTAAAGGGATGAAAGGGTATGAGGGTGAAAGTGGGAAAAGGGGACTGAGTTGGATGATCAGCCATAATCATATTGAATGGTGCAACATGCTTGAAGGGCCGAATGGCTTACTCCTGCTCCTATTTTCTATCTTTTATCATGGTTTGACTCAACTCTGTGACATGGGTCTTCGTGCTCTGTTGTGAGCACACACACAGACAAAGGGCTGCAGCTGGAGGATAATCAGCCAGTGACAGATGCTCTATGCCCTGGGCTCAAAACTCGCTGCCAGCTGCTGCATGTTGCAGACTGGCACATTCCAAGCTCCAGAGCTGAGTACTGAGGGACACACTGACATTTGGGGGAGCTGCTGCAGATGTGGGAATGGGGGAAATATCGAGGGTGTTCCTCCTCAATGGTCTCAGTGAAAACCTCTGGGGACTGGACACATCACAGAATGTACATGAAACATACACAGACTCTAAAGGTCTTGTTGTGGTAATGTCCCTGCCTCTAGTCCAGGTTCAAGTCCAGACTGCCCAGAGGTGTGTCAGAAAATAGTAACCAGATTAATTTAAAAAATATTTTTCATGTTTCGATGGTAAAGATAAAGTCAACATAATCCTTTACTACATTACAGCAGGCAGCTGGTGGTGGTTTAACCTGAGGGTCACCATGCCTCAGGCAAGGAGAGAGACTGAGGAGGAGCAGCGCTTCATGGTGACCTCAGCCAGTCAGGAATCAAACCCACACTGTTTTTTTATTCATTCACAGGATGAGCATTTATTGCCCATCCCTAATTGCCTAGGGGGCAGTTAAGAGTCAACCACATTGCCGTGGGTCTGGAGTCACATGTAGGCCAGACCAGGTAAGGATGGCAGTTTCCTTCCCTAAAGGACATTAGTGAACCAGATAGGTTTTCCGACAATCAGCAACAGATTTTTGGTCATCATTAGACTCTAAATCCCAGATTTTTATTGAATTCAAATTCCACCATCTGCCATGATGGATTCGAACCCAGGTCCCCAGAACGTTAGCTGGGTCTCCGGATTAACGGCCTAGCGATGATACCACTTGGCCAGCACCTCCCCACGTTAGCGTGATTCTGCATCACAAACCAGTTGTCCAGTCAATTGAGCTAACCAAGTCACCTTCCCTAATCTGTAAACATACCGTGTAACACAAGTACAATGAGGGACTGCATACTCACTTTAATGTACTGCCCAGGCAGATTATGTAATGTCACATTTGGACTTTTTATAAACTTGATGAACAAAGTGTGCTTTAGGAAAATAAAAACTTTAAATCTTGGTTTGCAACTCAATCTTCCCCAAAATAATAAATTCTATGTCACATTAAAGTCATTTGTTACATCTGTACTGCTCGGACTCATTCAGAATAATTACTCATTGCTCCGATGTAAGGTGGTCAGTTGCCTTATTTGACCAGTTTGTGAAAGGGAAACCAATCCCTTAGCAATAAGAGCAGAACTGATTCATTTCTGGGACTCAGCATGGGAGGGGCAGGGTGGGAATTCAGGAAGGGGGAAGTTTATTGAGCAGTTGATATTCTAATCCCAACAGGAAATCTTAAATCTCTTATTGAGCGCTGTGTTATTTCGCTCATCAAAAACCACCTCCCAGGTAAAAATCCACCTCCCTCTAAAACCATCCACCAGGTAAAAAGCCATATCCCACCAACCCCTCTATACTCCCCACTAACCCCCTCACAACCCCCAACACCCCACCCCACCCATTGTTGTCAGCTCACCTGGGTTCCCTCCTGGCCAGGCAGGGTTCAGTGGGATTGTTGGCATCACTGGAGGTCCCATCGGATTTCCTGAATGAGGGAACATTGATGGGAAGGCAGAGTTTCCCCCAGGCAGATAAGGGACATTTCCCCCAGGGGGGTAAGGAGCATTTCCCCCAGGGGGGTAAGGGGCATTTCCCCCAGGGGGGTAAGGGGCATTTCCCCCAGGGGGGTAGGCAGGGTGGGGTCCAGGCTCACCCGAGGGTGGGTACAATGGATTAATTGATTCTTCATAAGTCGGGGGAGCACTCGGATGAGGCATTGCACGCTAAACACTGGCTCTTGCTCCAAGTCAGCTACTGTACAGTGCAAAATCTAGAAAACAAATAAAAAATGAAAAGCATTAAGACCAAGGCAGATTATTTCCTAGGTTTCCAGCCCTGGGTTTGAATTCCACACCCAGCACTTACCCTGTTACTCCCAGGTTAACCCAGTTCAGAAACGATCATATCTGTACCAGTTCACTGAGCATTTGACTTCGAGCCAATCTCCTACTTCTTTTCCCATATCCTTATCGCATTGTTTCTGTTTGGCAAACATCTCCTGGGATTAGTCGAAAGGTGAACCCTGCTTTAAAAAAGATGAACTTCTGGCCTCAGTGCCAGCCCCTGGTTTATCCCTAAGGAGCTGCGATACAAAGTGCAGGAAGTGAGAGATTCTGCTTACATGTCATCTAGAGGATCTGATTTTCTTCATGCATCTGATGTGGGCATGACAGGCTGGGCCAGCATTTATTAAGCATCCCTAGTTGCCCCTTGAGAAGGCAGTAATGAGCTGCCTTCTCAAACCACTGCAACCCCATAATGCCCTTAGGGAGTGAATTCCAGGATTTTGACCCACCAACAGTGAAGGAACAGCGATATATTTCCAAGTCAGGATGGTGAGTGGTTTGGAGAGGAACTTGCAGGGGGTGGTGTTCCCATGTATCTGTTGCCCTTGTCCTTCTAGATGAAAACGCAAATTCACCTGATCAATGTTGGAGCTGTTGAAATGGTTACAGTACAAGAATCAGTCACATGAACATGTTTGAGTTTTGAGGAATGAGGTAATTTAATCAAAGTTTTTCGAGTGATAAAAGGAAACAGTGACATGAATAAAGGGAAACTGCTCAGACTAACATTAACACATGATCAGCTGTAGGCTGGCCTCCTCCTGTTCCTGGGTAACAGGTGTAAGAGGGGCTGAATCGGCTCTTGCAATAACCCTGTTCTCTCAGAAGGCACAGACTAAACTCAGGGGCAGCAGAGACTGAGCTCAGGGGGAGGGGGCAGGGACTAAGCTCTGGGGGGAAAGGGAGCAGAGACTGAGCTTTGGGGGTGAGGGACTGAACTCGGAGGGGAGCAAGAACTGAGTTCATGGTGGGGCCAGGGAGTGAGCTCGCAGTGGGGCCAGGGAAAGTGGTGGGTGCAGGGACTGAGTCTAGGGCGTGGCCAGGGACTGAGCTGGGGGGGCAGGCAGGGAATGAGCTCTCAGGGTGTGGCCAGGGACTGAGCTCGAAGTGGGGCTAGGGACTGAGATCGGGAGGGGGTGGTGGGGGCCGCAGGGAGTGAACACAGCGGGGAGGGGGCAGGGACTGAACTCGGAGTAGGAGGGACCCTGAACCTGGGCCCTGAGTGGGGGAAGCTGAATGGCCTCCTCCTGTTGCTTTTCCACCCCAGCTGATGGAAGAGCTGTTGGGATGTTATCCCTCATGTTCTGGTCAACATTTTAACTTCAGCCAAGCTCAGCCATAAAACAATCTGCTCAGCATCACACTGCACTTTGTGGGATCTTGCTGTGTATCACTGGTTCCTTTCAGTACAATAGTGAACACACTCCAAAAACTGCAGATCTCTTTTGGGATATGCTAACATACCTTTCCTTCCTTTGCGAGGACGGACCTGTATTTATATAGGGCTTTTTGGGATATGCTAACATCCCAAAAGGCCCTAGATAAATGCAGGTCCGTCCTTGCAAAGGGAGGAAAACTGCTGTTTTTCTGTCTGGGTGTGATTGCAGTCCTCCAAGAAGGTGCCAGCCTTTTTCTGGTGCCTAGCCAGACACTCAGCTGCAACAGTAAGATGTAAGTGCCAAGGTCTCATCTCCCACAATCAAACACAGAAACATTGTCAGACCAGAGGCTCCCACAGTGTGCGCTTTCACTCTGGGATCCCACGCAGTGGACGTTACTGAGATCTAAGCATCGTTTTGCTGGCCCTACCTCAGCCTCCCGTCACTATCACAGTGAATATCACAGACAGTATACAGGCAGAGGCCCCTTCACCAGAATTCCCAACAGACATCACAAAACAATTTGCAGCAAATATTCCTGTGTCAAATTTTCCACACACCAAGGCCAGTTCGGTTGCGATGGTGGTGATTCGCTCAGAGTCCCAGGGTCAGCTGCAGGCGAGACTGTTACTCTGCTGGAAAAGTATTACTCTCTACCTCATCTGGCTGCAACTGCCCCAAAAGCAGGTAATAGAGTCATAGAGAGATACAGCACGGAAACAGACCCTTCAGTCCAGCTCGTCCGCAACAACCAGATATCCTAAATAAATCTAATCCCATTTGCCAGCATTTGGCCCATTTCTCTCTTAAACCCTTGCTATTCGTATACCCCTCCAGATGCCTTTTAAATGTTGTAATCATACCAGCCTCACCACTTCCTCTGGCAGCTCATTCCATAAACACACCACCCTCTGCATGAAAATGTTGTACCTCAGGTCCCTTTTAAATCTTTCCCCCCTCACCTTAAACCTATGCCCTCTAGTTTTGGACTCCCCCACCCTGGTGAAAAGACCTTGTCTATTTACCCTATCCATGCCCCTTATGATTTTATAAACCTCTGTAAGGTCACCCCTCAACCTCCAACGGAGGGAAAATAGCCCCAGCCTATCCAGCCTTACCCTATAACTCAAACCCTCCAACCCCGGCAACATTCTTGTAAATCTTTTCTGAACCCTTTCAAGTTTCACAACATCCTTCCTGTAGCAGGGAGACCGGAATTGCACACAGTATTCTGAAAGTGGCTTAACCAATGTTCTGTACAGATGCAACATGACCTCCCAACTCCTGAACACAATGCACTGACCAATAAAGGCAAGTGTACCAAATGCCTTCTTCACTGCACTGTCCACCTGCGACTCCACCTTCAAGGAACTCTGAATCTGCACCCCAAGGTCACACCAAGCTCTGATGAAGAGTCATCCAGACTTGAAACATTAGCTTGCTGTCTCTCCACAGATGCTATCTGACCTGCTGTGATTTCCAGCATTTTCTGTTTTCAGTACAGATTCCAAATCTGTAGTAATTTGCTCCCCCAAGGTCTTTGTTCACAACACTCCCCAGAACCCTACCATTAAATGCATAAGTCCTGCCCTGATTTGCCTTACCAAAATGCAACAGCTCACATTTATCTAAATTAAACTCCATCTGCCACTGAGGTTGTTGACTTGCTCGCCGAGCTGGCTTGTTTTCGTTCAGACAATTCGTCACCATGCTAGGTGACATCATCAGTGGAGCCTCCGACGAAGCGCTGTTATTCTACTCTGCTTGGAATTTATACTGTCCGGTCTGTTATGGTGAGTTCTGTCATTTCCGGTTTTGATCCGTGTGGGTTTGTATATGGGGTCCCATTCCATATGTTTGTTGATTTCATTACGGGTGGAGAACCACGTCTTTAGGAATTCCCGTGCGTGTCTATGTTTGGCTTGGACTACTATGGTTACCTTGCCCCAGTTAAGCTGATGGCCTTCATTGTCTGAGTGTACCGATATTAAGGAGAGTTCATCGTGCCGTTTTGCTGCGAGCTGATGCCCATGTATTCTGATGGCTAGTTTCCTTCCTGTCTGTTTGATGTAATGTTTGTGACAGTCGTTGCACGGTATTTTATAAACCGCATGTTGTGGGAATGGGGTTTTTAATTCTTATGAGTGCTTGTCATAGTGTGGCTGTGGGCTATTTATGCAGACTGAACAATAACCACAAAGATGCGAACAGAACAGACTTCATGGCCGCCCTGGAGAATACATTAAAAGACAACAAACTCACGGACGAAACACAACAAGCCATTCGACAAACTATAATCCCTACACTACACAGAAGGAACAATGGGGACAACCTGAACATGTCAAAGAGAAAAGCACTAGGTAAACTCAAGAAAGACAAAAACATCATAACCCTAACAGCAGACAAAGGGCGCATGACCGTCATTATGAACAAACCGACAACAAAAAGACACAACCAATACTCACTCATCTCCATTCACCTGAATAAAGAGAACCACCAGTTCGATTGCGACAACACCAGGATCCTAGGACAGGCCAAACAGAGACAAGAATGGGAATTCCTTGAGGAACCGGAAATGAGGTAATCAAATCCAACGGACCCCAGAGTTTAAATACTAGGGGGGGAAAAATACAACAGCGCTTCATCGGATGATGTTACCCAGCATGGTAATGAAACGTCTGTGAACTAACAAACCAGCTCGGCGAGCCAACCAACCACAGCATCCACAACCCGAGCTACAAATCTACTCAAGAACCTTAGAAACCAGACTACGTGTACCCCACAAGCCCACAGCCACTCTACGACAAACATTCACAAGGATTACAGACCCCATTCCCACAACATGCAGAATGAATGTGGTTTACAAAATACCGTGCAACGACTGCCACAAACATTACATCGGACAGACAGGAAGGAAACTAACCATCAGAATACATGAACATCAGCTCGCAGCTAAACGGCACGACAAACTCTCCTTAATATTCAGACATTCAGACAATGAAGGCCATCAGTTTAACTGGGATGACGTAACCATCGTAGCCCATGTCAAACATAGACACGCACAGGAATTCCTAGAGGCATGGTTCTCCACCCGTAATGCAATCAACAAACGTATAGAATTGGACCCCATATACAAATCCAAACAGATCAAAACCGGAAATGTTACTACTCACCATAACAGACCGGAGAGTATAAATTCCAAGTGGAGTAGAATACCATCGCTTCAGTGGAGGCTCCACTGATGATGTCACCTAGCATGGTGACGAAACATTTGAACAAGAACAAGCCAGCTCGGCGAGCAAGTCAACAACCTCACCCCACAACCCGAGCTACAGATCTTTGCCAAAACTTTAATCCATCTGCCACTCCTCGGCCCATTGGTCCATGTGATCAAGGTCCCGTTGTACTCTGAGGTAACCTTCTTTGCTGTCCACTACACCACCAATTTTGGTGTCATGTGCAAACTTACTAACCATACCTCCTATATGCATATCCAAATCATTTATAGAAAATGACAAAAAGCAGTGGGCCCAGCACCAATCTTTGTGGCGCACTGCTGGTCACAGGTCTCCAGTGCAAAAAGCAACCCTCCACCACCACCCTGTGTCTCCTACCTTCTAGCCAATTTTGCATCCATATGGCTAGTTCTCCCGGATCCTGTGTGATCTAACCTCACTAACCAGTCTACGATGAGGATCCTTGATGAACGCCTTAGTGAAGTCCATGTAGACAGTGTCTACCGTTCTGCTTTCGTCAATGCTCTTCGTCACTTCTTCAAAAGAATTCAATCAAGTTAGTGAGATACAATTTCTCACACACAAAGCCACGTTGACTATCCCCAATCAGTCCTTGGCTTTCCAATAACATGGAAATCCTGTCCCTCAGAATCCCCTAAAACAATGTAGCCACCATGTTAGGCGCACTGGTCTATTGTTCCCTGACTTTTCCTTACCAGCCATGACTGTATGGAATACCACGGAAGGTTCAAGGGCACAGTGACCTTCTCCTGTTCTTTATTCTCATGAACATCCCTTTGTACATCCACAATTGCCATTTAAGAAATGCTTTGCACTTATGTTCCTCCTGCCAAAGTGGCTAACCTCACATTTATCTATTGTGTACTCCACTGCCATGAAAACAAGAATACAATACATATGAGCAGGAGTAGGCCATTCAGCCCATCAAACCTGCTCCACTACTCAATACGATTTTAGCTGGCCTTGGACTTCAACTTCACTTGCCCACCATCTCATCATCTCCCTCAATTCCCCAAAACTATGTCTGTCCCAGCCAAAAATATACTCAATGATGGAGGACCCACAACTGTCTGGGGCAGAGATTCTAAAGATTCACACCACTCCGAGCGAAGACCTTTCTCGTCACCTCAGTCCTAAATGATTACTCCCTTATCCTGAGACTGTGTGCCTGTGTCCTAAATTCCCCAAATGGGTAGAGCAGCCCCTCAGTGTCAACCCTGTCATGCTCCTTCAGAACTACATAGGTTTCAATGAGGTCATCTTGTATTAACATAGAACATAGAACATAGAACATAGAACAGTACAGCACAGTACAGGCCCTTCGCCCCACAATGTTGTACCGAACTTTTACCCTAAACCTAAGGTCTATCTAACCTCCACCCCGACCTTATATTATCATCCATATGCCTATCTAATAGCCGCTTAAATGCCGCTAATGAGGCTGACTCCACTACCCTCTCCAGCAATGCATTCCACGCCCCTACCACTCTCTGAGTAAAGAACCTACCTCTGACGTCTCCCCTGTAATTACCTCCACTCACTTTAAAACTATGACCCCTCGTAATAGCTACCTCCACCCTAGGAAAAAGTCTCTGGCTGTCCACTCTATCTATACCTCTGATCATTTTGTACACATTTTGTATTCTTCCAAACTCCCAAGAACATCGACCCATTTTCCTCAGCCTGTCATTCCAGGACAGCTCGCTCATCACAGGGAGCGATCTAATGAACATTCACTGGACTTCCTCCAAGATAAGTTCAAAGGGTGTGGAGAGAAAACAGGAACAGGGGACTGAGTTGGATGATCAACCATGATCATATTCAATGGCCGAATGGCCTACTCCTGCTCCAGTTTTCAACTTTTCTAAGTATGGTGTTCCAAATTCCTCAAAAGATTCTCTGCGTGGGCTTATTAATTGCCCCAATATAGTTGTAGTAAGACTTTCTTATTCCTGTACTTGGATCCCCGAACAATAAAGGCCAACATAACATCTGTTTTTGCAATTATTCGCTGGAACTTAACACACTGACTTTCTGTTTCTTGTGCAAGTATACCAAGCTTCTCTGAACTTCAACATTTACACATTTCACACCTTTCACAAAATATTCTGGTATGCTTTCAATGAATGAATAACCTTGCACGCGCCCCCCCACCTTGATGTCCACTCATTTAACCTGTTTCTATCACTTTGCACCTCTCTGTATCCTGCTCACAGCGTGCAATCCCACCTTTGTATCATCAGCAAACATTGATACATTACTAAATAAAAACCAAAAGAACTGCGGATGCTGTAAATCAGGAACAAAAAAACAAAGTTGTTGGAAAAGCTCAGCAGGTCTGGCAGCATCTGTGAAGGAAAAAACAGAGTTAATGTTTCGAGTCCGATGGCCCTTCCTCATAACTGTTCTGAGGCTCTGAGGAAGGGTCACCAGACCCAAAACGTTAACTCTGTTTTTTCATTCACAGATGCTGCCAGACCTGCTGAGCTTT